CGCACCGCGCGTTGATTTGTGTACTTCTCATGTTTTGATATTATGACTTATACGTCCAGTGCTTCATCACATTATCCTTACTTTGGTTGTAGACTGGAGAAATGTTGTTGAATATCTCCAAACTCCTACAGATTTTTTGTCCTGGTCTACCTAGAAAATTTGACATCTAGCGGACTACAGGAGCATAGATTGGAAATGTGGGTGCTTGTCAGGTTAAATTCAACTATGCGAGGTGCAGTCGCGCCAATGCAATTTTGCTGCTCAAATGCCAAACTCGCTTACACAATACCGACATGGCCCTCTAATAGCTTCCCAGTTCTGAAGGGTATTCATATATATATATATGGAAACACTGAACAGTTTATTAGAATGATGTGATGACAATGTCAGCAATATGTAATATGTATGTAAATATAGTAAATAAAATACATATGTAGTGACTTTCAGTTTTATAAGAATGACTCCGCAAGTGACAAGTCCAATGACCAGTCTCCAGTCCAATGACCAGTCTCCAGTCTCAATGATGATTATGACAGAAATTCTTTATCCCATTCCTATTGGTCGCTTATATCAATCCCATCTTCGACCGATGTTGGGTTTTAGGGCTTGGCTTTTCTAAACTCGAGCTTCGTATTGACGTATTTTGCTTCCTATTTCGTGAATTTAGACACATATTGAACACTTCTATCGCCTTTTAAGACTTAGTTATTGTGGTTGCAATTATCACTCTCTGGTAGTTGAATCGTATAAGTACACCTTTACTGTAATAGAAACGTCTAGTTGCGGTTAATCACAGTGCGGCTACTCACAGCCGAATCCATCTTATTGTGTAGCAAATATGCCTTCGTGGCCAAAGAATGCCCGGATAGTTTATGATGGGTGTGGTAATCTCAAATTCCGGACATCTGTACATATTAGGGATGTTCTTGAAGCTGGCAAATCACCTCCTGGTCCGGAATACCTTTTCAACTACGATTCTTATCCAAATATCACAGAAATCCAAATGGGTTACTACCAGAATGACCTGTACTTTGGCAACAACTCTGTGTACGAATATCTCTGGCTGACTGAGATATTTTTCAACGTCGAGTTTGAAGACACTGCCTACGAGTTCTGGATACCGAATGCAAAGTGGAAGGGTATAAAAAACTTATGCGCACCTACTGATAAGACTGCCGATTATAGGCTATGGTCTAATCCAAACATAGACAAAGTCCACGACGAATTAGGTACGTTGTGTACTGTAAATTTTTGCCGAGTAAGGTCTTTCTTCTTGATATTTCCGTAACAAATGTACGATCTACGTGCGCAGGATAGGATAATTTTAGCATATAGTTTCTTGACTATGAAATGGTTTTGATATAAAGAGAAAAACATACATAAAAATCTGAGATGAATAGCGATAGGCTGAACTCAATTTTCCCCATTTGTTTTTTTTAATACTAGGTGGAGAGTTTGGAGTATCGTATGAGCAATGTCCGTTCGGGCCTCCGGCACACAGAACTATCGACTCCGGCAAAGTGCATTTGGGGGGACCTGTTGAGTCGTTGCTGGATAACAACAACACCTTGACCCTGCAGTGTAGGAAGAAGCCGTGTGAAGTCAACATGTGCAAAAACGGAGGCAAGTGCAAGACAGACTTTTACGCCGAGTATAAAGCCACGTGCGAATGTGTGGAGCCGTACTATGGACTGGATTGTTCGCTAACCACAGGCTTGCCAGTTACAGCCCGGGAAACCTTTTACTACTCGCAGCGAGACTGTAAGAAATATATTTTCAGCGGTTCTCTACATATTACTGGACCTAATCAGTTTATGCCTATGCTCGACAATGGAACAACATTTAATCAATTCAAAACATATAGCTACACAACAGGGTTATTCACCAATAACTTCGGTTATGGCGACGGGGGTAGAACCGACTTTTTCTATCCGGGTGAAGAACTGTACCTGAGGGTGACCTCTGACGAACAGGTGGGCTTCAGGTTTCTATCAGCCGGTGATACTACTAAAATACGAAACATAACCACTTGCACCGACACCCAACACCCGAGTTTTGTACTGTGGCATTCTGGCACATCATCACAGTTGCTGCAAACACGCACCACGGGGATGGGAAACACGGTACACGAGGATTGCTTGGGCACTTATTTAACCAAAACCCAGTTCATTGGAGGGTTAATGAGGGATTTAACAGATGATCAGGGCGAGTTGATCATTCAGTGCTTTAATACTACGAATGAGGTTGCGTACGGCGTGAGCTCCCCGTCACAAGGCGGTACAGCCAGCAAAAGCGATGTCGCGAACGCAGGTCTCATTGCCTCTGTAGTGCTGGGTGTAGTATTCATCATCGCTCTAGTAACAGCTGTGCTATACTACCTGCACAGATGGCGAAAAAAAAGGTCCGAGGCTTCTCGGCGGCGATCAGATGACCCCGCACGGGCCAGCAGGGAACATCCGCTGTGTGGTCTCCCGAATAATTTCTTGGCCAAAATCAACCATCCCGATTCCATTCGAGTGCGCCAGCAAATGCGCTGCAAAGTCATACCGGCTGATAGGGTGACTAAGATGCACGAGCTAGGGCGAGGAAACTTCGGCACGGTTTACTGTGGATTGCTTCTGGGTGACAAATCAGGGGAGGAGTCACCTGTGGCCATTAAAGAGTTGAATAATAGCAGTACGGGAGAAAATAGTGAGGACGCGTGTCAGTTCCTGGTGGAAGCCCAAATCATGCGCGATATGAACCACGTGAACGTAATGTGCTGCATAGGTCTTATCGAAGGACCCCCATTGGGAATAGTGCTGGATATCATGACTATGGGTGATCTGAATACATATCTTGGTTCTCAGGATGAACGGGAGACGAGTGTAACAGTGGCGGAGAAGTACTTCTTTTGCTATCAGATAGCTCGGGGCATGAACTACTTGGGACGGATGGGAATTGTCCACAGAGATCTGGCAACGCGAAACTGTATGCTGGGACTACCATCCAAGGTAAGACCCAAACAGAGAGAGAAAACATTTTTATTATTGCTCGTGTTCTGAATTTGAAGTATATTCTCAAAACTACCGATATACACATTTCTGCCGAACTGTGGATTTTATAGTATTGAACTAAAAAACTGTAGTACTGTCAATTGAATATATGTTCGACAAATCTATATACTGGTCTATATACCATCTCTTGTTGTTGCTTTCTTCCTTTTTTAACATCATTTTTCACACGATAGCAGACGACATTTGGATTTCCCGAGCTGAAAGTGGCGGATTTTGGCCTGTCGAGAGTCGTATCAGACCAGGGCTATTATCGAATGGAGAACAGAACGAAACTTCCATTTGCCTGGATGTCCCCCGAAGCTCTAACTGAGCGGACGTTTAACGGCAAAAGCGATGTTTGGAGCTTCGGCATCACTGTATGGGAAATATTCAATAACTGCAACGGGACACCATATGGGCGTGATAAGAATGTATTTGCGATACTGACATTTCTGAATTCCGGTCTCAGGCTCGAGAAGCCAGAGTGCTGCACAAAGGTATGTGATGTGGTTCAATGTTTAATATATCCTGTATACGCAAAGCCACATATAGTCACGCAGGCGATTAGCATGGGATGTAATACACAGTAGGCGAGCCAAATCTCTGACATTTTTGCGTGTTCTGTGATTTTCTTAAGTCTTCCGACTATATACACCAACTAAGCAAGTGTGGGTGTTTTGTAATTGTCATCGTGCTGCGCACGCATACAACAACTCGAGGGTGTAGTGATTGTCAGCGGATTCCCATTCAAAGCCTCCAAAAATCTGCCGAGCTTCCCGACACACTTCACCGCCAATTCATGATATGCAAGAAAACGTATTGTTACATTTTTCGAAACCCTAAAAACCCTTGCGGGAGGAAAGTTAAGAGCACGACCCCGAGTTGTATACTGTAGTAGTGCAAGCGATGGGCCGAATCGTCCTCAATAGATCCTCTCTGATTCTCCGTTTTTTGGGCTTGTACCACCGTACTCTTCTAGGAGGTGCCTTGTTCGAAATATTTTGCAAATGAAATGGTCGTGCTATCTTTATTTGATTCTAATGCAAATGTACTAATATATGTGTATCCCAGGAAGCGTATGAAATGATGCTGCAATGCTGGGCTCGAAACCCTGAGGATCGACCGGATTTTGCACAATTGAACTTAGAAACGGCCGAGTTGTTCCGCCCTCATTGTCCAAAGCCAATAATGGTCATGGTATGTTCTACAGTTCAAGTGTACACTGCCAGAATGTTTGCGTGATAGAGAATTGATAGTATACATTGTCTTGTAGTTGCTTGAAAATTCAGATGTGAAAACTCACCTTTCATCGACGAGTCCATGTAAATTACGCATGTGAAGATAAATCGATCTGTAGTAGGGTGTGGATGCTTGTAAATATGTACATGTACGCTTACATGCAAAAGTCGTCAGTATGGTACTATGCTAGTGTAGATTTATATATGTATGTTCAGATACCAAAAACATCATATCAAATTGTTAAGCAATTAGGCATGTGCAAACTGGAAAAGTGCGAAATTCCAAATTGTATAGTACTTTTCATCAGATATAACCGTGTTGATAATCATACAAACATAAGCGTCGATTATCATACCATGTACATTTCGTAGTAATATCAGGGTTAGCGCAAAGGGCGACAAACTTGATATGCGCACTGCCAGCTGATAAAAAACACATCTGATGATTTGTACACAGCCCGTGAACAATGAAACACGACTAATCGAGAGGAAAACAGAGGCTCCACAGAGTCAAAAATTTATAGTGAGAAAGACCGGAGCCACGGAAATCACCACAAGTTCGGGTGACGGCTACGTTGATGTATAGCTTGGTTGAACCCTAGTACTGATGGAGAGCAGGATTCGCTATAGCCCACTGTGGTCTGTACACAATTGATATGTGACTCAAATACGCACCATCGATTTGTGGAGAAGATCCGGCTATCGCAGTATGGATCACACACAACAGTGGAGCGACTGGTGCATTCGAGCACCTTCAGGATACGTGAGCTCTAAACAGATGCTACCAAAACCATCCCAACTATCTATGTATAACAACACGTGGTAAGCTGTAGTACCCCCCAGCCATCCACGCTAACAATCGCCATCGCCCACCCCACCTCTCACAGCGTGTCCACGACGAAACAAAGCTCGAGAAGCGCGAGATGAAGAGTCCGGTGACCCACAAGCGCATCTCCGAGCACGTGTACGAAGAGGTGGACGATGTTCTGGGCCATATGTGCAGCGACACGCCCCTGGGATCCTCAGAATGGGACCAGTCAGCGTCCGGGACTACGCTCAAGCGCGAGGGCTCGAATCTACAGCCCATAGGCTCTATCCGGCGGAAGTTGTCGTTCAAGGAGTTTGAGGATTCCTGCCCCGATATTGTTTAGGTGGCCGCGATTTGTCTTGTTAACTTAGGACTTGGGACGCACAGGAGGGTGTGTGTGTGTGTGAGGGTAGGATGGCAGGATGTTTTAGGGGTTTACACTATCTAGAAAATATACACCCAATTGCATTCTCGAAACCGGCTAAAATGGGCTCCGGCGTGAGTATTTATGATTATAATTATAAGCGCGATCATAGCAGACCATCTTCCTCCACATCTCTAGTATAGTTTAGCCACTTCCATGACATTGCTTCAATTGGCCGGCGGTAACAACCCACTGATCGCCGTAACTTTATACTCCACTTCTATCATCTTTTACCGATCCGCTTTGGCGTTGGCTCGGCAGTATTCGTTCCCGAAGTACGGGCGCTTTTCCTGCTCTTGCCCCTGCTCTTTCTCACACCGCGTGTACCGGTACTCCCTCTCGTACCCGCTCTCTTGCCCAAACTCGTCCCGGTATTCGACCCCACAGTCCCGGTTCTCAGGCTGCCACGTGTTCGCACGTGGTCTTCTACACCGCTGAAGTCCTCCATCTTCACATTCGGTTCAAAGTCACTGCCCGCGTCGCTGCTCTCGACCTCGCTCGTTGACTCGTCGCTCACCTCAGCGCTCGACTCTTTCTCTGCCCAACTCTCATCGTCCGATAAACCTGGTTTATCGCCTCCCTTTCGGGCATTACCGGGGTGACTCGGTGGTCTGTGTCCTGTCTGTGCTCGTGCACTCCTCACACTCTTCCCCACCCTAACCGCACTCCCCTTCACCACGGTCCCCCTAGCCTTCTTACCCGCAGCAGCAGTCGGGTCTGCTACTACCCGCCGCCTGGCCTGGCCGGTCTTGCCCTTGCCCACACTCTTCATCCCAGCCGTCTTCCTGGTCCTAATGTCCTTGGTTTCTGAATCCACATCGTCGGGAGTTGTATTTGAAGGTCTGTCTTCACTTTTGTTGTCTGTGCGTGTGGGTGCGTGATGCGACCGCTGCCTGCGCGTGGCCAAGGGCGAGAACGTCTTCTGTGGTGGGGATTTAGGGTTGGTGTTGGGTTTTTAGGCGTATGAGATAGGTTGCTGAAGTCGATTGTTTTGCCAAAGCAGTCATCTACATTGCTCACCGCAAGTGTCCACTTGGGCCCGATCTGTGGCTGTATACATACTCGACAGACAAATACCAACTCATGTAGGGGTACATACAGTATGTACACGGCATATTGAGTTCTATGTGTATAACTACACGAATACGCACATCGATCGACGTTTGCTTCAGCCTTTGTCTACGATCCAGCGAGTACAAAGATGAAGTCACAATTAAGCTTGGACACCTACGTGCGCATGTCAATGCCTGCGTGCATGTCTGACATACTGTGTATGTATATACCTCTGAGCTGCCACTGTCACCATCTCTCGCTGCTTTCTGCTGGCTTTTTAGAATGGATTCAACATCAGGTATTGGGCCCGGCCTCGGACTGAAAATAAGCCGAACCGAGAGAAAGTTTAGTAAACAACGTATGTATCAGCCGATAAACTAGTGTAGAAGTGTAGTGGCTGGCGTCTGTACTAGGCGAGTACTACAACAGTACCCAAATGCACTAACAGGAGAACACAGATGCGGACGTGTGAACGCAACAAAGGACGCGTACACAGTTGGATATGTAGGTACAGTCGGTGAATGGTTATTACCAGAGAGTAGCCGTGAATAAAAAAAAGAAAGAAGGCAAGAAATTCAGCGATTCTATACAAGCACTCTAGTGTTAATTCCACAACAGCATGCTCGCGCGCTATACAACGACAACAACAACAATTCGAACAGCCGGATACAACCCAGTACGCGACAGTCACTACAATACGCCTAACAGAACACCGAACACCCGCCCATGTAGCAAGCAATCAGATGACACAGAAAGTAACCAAATCAGTTACCATTGATGCACGGGTCACCGCTCCCACTCAATTGCAACAGAAGCGCAAAGACAAAAAAGACAAATACAGAACTTCTCCCTCCCCTCAGATTGTTCTGATGCGCATGTTGCTGCTGGTGATTAGTGTGGACACCGCCTGACTGTACGGGTGATTACAAGCTAATACACCGATTAACACACCTGGTAGATATTACAGGTACACACACCTGGTAGGTAGTACAGGCACACACACCTGGTAGATAGTACAAG